GGAGACTGACGAGTTGGGAAAAGCTTTTCACGACAAAATAAGGAAGAAGATGGAGAATCTAGCACAAAAGCACGATGAAAAAAGTAAAAAAATAGCTTCACAGAATCGCACAATTATAAGCAACTTTTCACCTTAAGTGAGATAAGTGAAAAGCTAATACAAATAATGCTCATCTCCTCCAAACGTGCTTATAAGCCCAAAAGCCACTTTCTCATACTCAGATCGCCATACCAAACAAACACATTATGGACAGCCTTATCTGGAACAGTGTTTTTTAAGGATCAAAATTAAAATGAAATCAAAATTCAGAGACTAAAATCATTGGTTTTAAATTTCAAAGAACAAAATTAAAATGAAGTTAAATTTCGAAGATTAAAATCACTTATTTCAAATTTCAAGAACCAAAATTAAAATGAGGCTAATCAGAGACTAAATGCATTAATCCTTTAAACTTCTATTTGATTTTTTATTAAATTAGTTTATCAATATAAAAAGATATTAAGTAACTATAAAAGATCATGTCAATACCTATTCTAAAAATTTTATGAGGAACGAAAAACAGAAACAAACAATCACATCGCTACACTCTCGCGGTAGTAAGTTGCTAGAAACCTATTCTAATGAGTTGGTTTTTTTTTTTTTTCCCTCTTCTGCATTTAATTCCTGTTTCTGTCCTTCTACTATTATAACTCTTTAACTTTGTATGCTTTCTTATTTTAATATCATTTTGCCTTTTCCTCAAAAAAAAAAAAAAGGTGCTTGGGGTTTACCAAACTTTTTCTTAGGGTTCATGGAATATTTTTAAAATATTAGATTGGATAATGTGATTTATATTTGAATTAGATTTTATAAAAGTTAGTTTGTAAATTAAAAAAAATATTCGAATTATGATTGAATAAGTAAGTTTAGTTTATAAAATTACCAAAATAGGTATGATTTTTATTAAATAATAAAAAATGATAAAAAAATGGATTTACATAATATAATAAATTTAAATTATTTTAATAAGAAGAAGTGAAATTTAATGAATGACACATATTTTAAAAAAGTAGAAATATTATAATTTTTTTTGTAAATATAAAATGAAACATAATTTTTAAAAATTAAAAATTATTTATGTCCATATTATGTGTCAGACCCATAGGCATTACTGAAACAAAACAACTCTATCTTAAAGCCAACCTGTTAGTGGCAGTTTTATCCAAGTGGGAGTAAATTAAATGATATATAAAAATTTAACTTAATAAAATAAATGACCAAATAAAGCAATGGAGGTAAGTTAAGAAGCATTTCACCGAGCATGGACAGAGAAAGAATAACACAAGAGTTTATACTGGTTTGATCTCAATCACTTGACCTGCATCCAGTCCTTAGAGCACCTCTGACATTTTCACTACATCCCCAAGATTCAACAGGCTCTTGGTGCCTCAGTACAGCAATTGAGTCACTCTCAATCACTCTCCCTTACTACCTGTAAAGTTACAATCCCCTCAAGAGTCCACACTGTTGAGTCACTCACAGAATTGAATAAAGGAAATTACAAACTCTCTCACAGAGTATATATGATGAACACTGATGCTCAAAAATGAAAAACAGAGTATTGAATGTGAGAGTTAATTTATACAGATGGTAGCTCAGTGAATTCAATACTTTATTCAATGTTTTTTGCGTCATTTATAGTTGGAGACTTTCAGTTTTTTGTTAGACACAAGAGTTTGTAGCCATTGGAGTATCGATTACGTGTGTTCAGTAGTTACAATAGTTGTTCGTAATAAATGCTTCTGACACAGTAGGTTAAGCCTATAATATATCCGTTGTGCTTCGTAATTTGCAGAAGTGTCTTGGTAAAAGTGTAAGTCTTCTTCTCAAGTAAATATGAATGAATATCATAAGAAATAATGATTCTTGGTTTTAATACAAGAAATGAAAAACATAGAATCAATCATCAGATATTCAGGAAGTAAAATGAATCAACTTAATTGAAGTCTTGATCGATAACATTATCGATTAACACAAAGGGAATCAGATTTAAACAACGAGAACATTTATCGAAGACATTATGGATCAATCGTTTATGGAATATGTGATCGATAAATGGTGAAATAGAGTCAACAAGGATATACATATAATAATCACTTAAAAAGCTTGTAATCTTGAGACATATGCTTTCTCTGTTTATATAAGAATATAATATAAATAAAAAAGGCTGAGAAAAGCTTAAAGATAGTATGAAAGCATATTTTGAAAAGTATCATGAAGAGTAGTTTAAATAAATATGCTGAGCTTTATCGAACAAATGATTGAACATCAGTTTATCAAATAGGTTATCGATAAAATGAGTTATCGTGGAAAAGCATTTTTTTAAACATAATAATCTAAAACATACTTGACAAGCTCTTGATTGATCAGGTTATCGCAAAAACAGTTCCAAAGGACTTAGGCTAATATTACAGAAAAATATAGTGTTGATTGAATAAATGATCGATAATTAAATTATTGATTAAGTGATCGATCATCATTGGTGAAAACTTGATTTCCAGAGAGAGACTTGATCGAATAGTTGATCGAACAACAAAGGAGGTTTTATAAAACCATGTTCAAACATGTTATCGATAAGAGGTTGATCGATGAAGTGATTGAATAACCATAAATAATTCCAAACAGTAAGTGACTCAAAGGGATTTACCAATTATCTGAGTCATGATCGATTAACATTTAATCGATAAGGTGATCGATTAATCTTTTGTAAAACGTGAGAAAGTTAACCTCTTTTTATCTGACAGCTTATCGATCATTAACTTATCCATTAGATGATCGATAATTTCCTAAAAGTCCTTATATTGAAACAATTTAACAGATGATCAAATAGGTGGTCGATAAACCTATTTATCTAGCAAGTTATCTAGTATAGTGAATTATCTAACAAGTGATCGATAAAGCCTAACTGTATATAACCTTATAATATGCAATCAATGATCTAACATATATTCGATTAACCACTGATCGAACACTTGACCAATTAATGTACTAATTATGCAGAGAAACTTAATTACTCACTTTGTTATCATCAACCTTAAATCTAACATAACCGTGTCCCGTTCTTGTCAAACCCCTAAAGCAAGATGCTACTATTTAATAAAGTTCATATCTTTTTCAGTTATTTTTCAACTGAATTTATTTTTCTATTAATCATCTAAATAAGTTTTAAATTTTTAAGCTAACGTTTTATGAATGTCAATCCAATCATAAATCACATTACACTAACTAATTTTTACTCTAACTCAAGTTTATAAAGATAAGATGAAATAAAACTCAGTTTTATCACTATTAATCCAAGTACATCTTTAACTAATCGTACTTCTAATTTCATTTTTGCCTCATAAGTTGGATGAGCCAAGGCTCAACCAAATAGGTCTCAAATTTGTAAACATGCTTGACAGAACCATAAGCTACTTTTATGCTACAGAAACCCCAACCAATAGGCAACTAGTATATTGCTATTTTGCTTTCATTATATGTGTGTGTATATCAAGGTACTAAAAATCGGGCCGGTCATTAAACCGATCGAGACAGTAGTTCAAGAGTTAGTGAGTCAGACTGGTAATAATTAATATATTATAATTTAATTAAAACACATAAAAATATTTATATTTTAATTTTGAAAACATAGCATTCAGTCTTTAAATAAATATATAAATTACAAAACATTTATATGTACAAAAACTTTCTTTTCCATTATTTTTTTTAATTTCTTCTCCTACCTAACACCGATGCATTCTTCTTGGTTTTTGACTTTTCTCTTTGTTATTCTCTCTCTTTCACGTAATCACTTGTCTCTCTCCTCTGCTTACCAAATTATTTATAAGCTCATGTTGATCTCATATATTTTCTTTTATTTTTTATTATTTATTATAAGGACATATTTGAAAATAAAAATATATTTCTAGAAGCATATTTACAAACAAAAGTATATTTCTAACTTATTTATTACTTTCAACTAATTTTAACTGATTTTTTGTTATCTACAAATTGGTTATTTGAGACTTATAATAAGAACCAAATGAAGTAATGAATTTCTTAATTTTTTCTCTCTCCATATGTAAAAAGTTATAAGCCATAAGCTATAAGTCATAAGCTGTTAATTTTAACTTATAATTTATTGTAACTTTTCATACAAAAACCAGATTGCTCAATCGCCAAGCCAAACAGTACAAATTCTTCAATTGGGCTTATGCTTAAAAAAAAGCTGCTTTTGCCCTCCAAACGCTTGGCCAAACAACCTGAGTATGGTCTTTTCATTTACGCTTCCCATGCTTCACCATTCAGAGCGCATGTTTGGAAGGCAGTTTTCTTTTACATTTTGTTCTCTCTTTCTTCACCGACATCCATGGCTCTATAGCTTTTCCACATAGATTTGGTAAGTTTCACTGGCATCCATGGCTCCATGGCTTTTCCACACAGATCTAGTAAGTTCTTTGTAAAGCATGATGGCAATCGTCTAATGAGTTGTAAGGAGATCTTGCCATTGAGAAGAACGACGATGAGGAAACGGTCAAAACAGCAACGGAGTTTAATTTTCATAGTAGAATCCGGTGATGATCTAGTCTGTCTTTTTTTTCTAAAAATTTTCTGAGCAGGGGAAGCTTTGGAAAAAAACCCGACTAACCCACCAAAACTGGTAGGTTATCCGGGTTAATCCCGGTTTACTCCGAGTTAGACTGAATTATGCTAGTTCATTGTGATCCTGATTTTGTTAACCAACCGAACTAGACAATTGACCGGTTTGTCGTTTCTTATCTAAACCAGCCAGTCCGATTTGATTTTCCATACCATGGTGTATATATAAACACAGACACACGGAATCACACCCTCTCGTAGAGAAAATTCTACGGCTCCTATCTGAACTTTGAACATTCCAAAGCCATTTGAATAGTCAAAGCAACCATATCAAATCAAATCGAATCATTTTTCAAATATACAGCATCATCACCGTAAATCTATTCAAATATGTTTTGCATTTTGAAAATTAACACAACAAACACCATCAATCAATCAAGATTAACATAAAATCTCTAATTATATTATGCCTTGTGCACAACAAAGTACTTGCTATTTATAAAGTCGTAACAAAACGACAACTCTAGTTCAAGATGAAGTAATAATTTGAAAAAAAAAAAAAGAAAATAAAACATTAAAAAAAGTTCCAATTACAGTTCTGTTGGGGGAGACGGACTGGTAGCATTCGGTTCGATCTTTTTCAACTGAATCCCGTGTTTATGTGATTCATCTTCGTAGGCGTAAGCAAATCCTCCGTGTCGGGTCAGATCCATACCCGCCAACTCGTCCTCGGCCGAGATCCGTAATAGTTTGAGCTTATGCAGAATGAAGAACAGCGTACCCATGGTGGCGCTAACCCACCCGACTATCACTAGAATTTGGATCACGTGAGCACCCAGTAGCCTTCCTCCGCCACCCATGAACAACCCGTGTGGCCGGCTCGCTTTTCCCGGGTACACCTGATCCACATACTCCCCTTTGGCGAACAACGCCGTGAAGATTATCCCCCACGCGCCGCAGCCGCCGTGAAGTTGTGCCGCCTCCAGTGGGTCGTCGAACTTCACCTTCTCTGCCAGCTTGTTGCAACTGATCAAAACCACCGCCGCCACGACCCCGCAAATAATTGCAGCCCATGGCTCCACGACAGAGCACCCCGCGGTGATGGCCGCAAACCCACCGAGTAAACCATTGCAGACGTCGGTCACGTTCCAGTGGCCGGAGAGGATTCGCTTGCCAAATAGTGTGGTTAACGCTGCGGAGCAACCAGCTAGTGTGGTTGTCACGGCGGTTCGGCCCACTGCACTCCACTGGCCGTAGTAATTTCCGGATTCGTAAGCACTGAGAATCTTTGTGAATGAACCTGGATTGAATCCGTACCATCCGAACCAGAGTAAGAAAGTTCCGAGAACGACGAGAGTGGCACTGTGTCCACGAAGGGCTAAGGGTCGACCTGTATGATCAAATCTACCAATTCTGGGACCTTCGATGAGAGCACCCCACAGGCCAGCCATACCGCCGACGAGGTGAACCACTCCGGAGCCGGCAAAATCTATCACTCCGGTTCCAAAAAGTAAGTTGTCCAGGTTGCTCGGACTGGCCCAACCATCAGCCGACCAGAACCAGTGAGACACGACAGGATAAACAAAGCCGGTTAAGAATGATGAGTAGATGAGATACGCCACGAACTGGGTTCTCTCGGCGATGGAGCCGCTGGTGATTCCGGCGGCGGCGATGGCGAAAGCCCACTGATAAAGGAAGTAGCTGTAGTCAAAGTTCGTGTCTGGAATGTCTTTAAGACCAAAGAAGTGGCGGCCGATGAAACCATTGGAGGGAGCTCCAAAGGCAAAAGCAAAACCAAAGAGGTAGTAAAAGAGACCACCGGTGGCGGCGTCGAGGACGTTGGTAAGCATTATGTTCATGCTGTTCTTGGCCCGTACAGAGCCGGCACAGAGCATGGCAAAGCCAAGTTGCATGGCGAAAACGAGGTAAGCAGAGTTGAGGAGGAAAGTGCTATCAACGGCGAAGGTGGTGTCGGAGAGCTTGTTGGTGACGGCGGTGAATCGGTCACAGATGAAGTCAGCGGCGGCGGCGGCATTGGTTGCGTTAGAGCCAAATAATTGGGCCAGTTGTGCCGCCGGGCATTCTGGCAAAGTCATGATGGTGAGTGAATCTACGTCAGAGCTATGGCACAAGAAAATAATGACAGAGAGAGAAAGGGAAGCAACTTGGAGAGTAGCAGCGACGAAGGCGGCTGTTTAGAATATATAGGGAAGATGATGTGAGAGGCATTATTATTATATAAAGGACGACAACTTTGGTTGGCTCCGTGTGAAATCACTTAATTAGGAGCTATTTTCCCAGATCCCAAAATGGAATCTAAGACGTTAGATTCGAAAATTTTCCCTTTTCTTTCGAGTTTTTTGTTTGAATTTTGATATTGTGCCTAGGGTTTTTAAATTAACATATTCATAGGATTTTTTTTTGGGAAAATTTCACTGTAGGACCGCAGAAGACAATTAATATCAAAGAGGCTCCAAAACTTTCTGAAACCTCACTGCAGGATCAAGGGACCAATCTGATATTAATTCCACAAACGAAATGACGCCACTGCCCCTCATTTTAGAGTGAGATTACAATAATACCCCTCCCTTTTTATTTTATTAAAAAATAAATATTTACCGGAGTTACTGTTCCGGCCACCGGCGCTCAGGTGGCCGCCGTCGGGGTCCGGTCACCGGTGGCCGGAACAGTAACTCCGACAGGACCTCCGGTGGCCGGAGTTTTTTTTGTTTAAAATAAAGTGGCCAAGGGAGGGTTTGAACCCAGGACCTCTTGGCACACCAAAAAACTTGTAACCACCAAACCAAGCAACCCATTCAATCATAAAATGCAAATAAAACTATATATAACAAAATAAATGCAACAGTCCAAATGTAAGTGAACAAGTGAAATTAGACGATTTACAAGTGGAATTCAGAAATTTGCAACAAAAATTAGGCAATTTACAAATAACATAATAGAAGTCATAACCCAAAATGCAAGTATTTAAGTGCAAATGAGCAAGTAAAATTTGAAGATTTACAATAAAAGTTTATGGATTTACAACCCAAATTTGGCAAACACAAGAGAATTCACAACCCAAAATATAAGTGTTTGAGTGTAAATGAACAAGTGAAATTAGACGATTTACAAGTATAATTCAGCAATTTACAACAAAAATTAGACAATTTACAAATAACATAATAGAAGTCATAACCTCAAATGCAATTGTTTAAGTGCAAACGAGCAAGTGAAATTTGAAGATTTACAATAAAAGTTTATGGATTTACAACTCAAATTTGGTAAACACAAGAGAGCAAGTGAAATTTGAAGATTTACAATAAAAGTTTATGGATTTACAACCCAAATTTGGTAAACACAAGAGAATTCACAACCCAAAATGTAAGTGTTTGAGTGTAAGTAAACAAGTGAAATTAGAGGATTTACAAGTGGAATTCAGCAATTTACAACAAAAATCAGGCAATTTACAAATAACATAATGGAACTCACAATCTCAAATACAAGTGTTTAAGTGTAAATGAGCAAATAAAATTTGAAGATTTACAACAAAATTTTATAGATTTGCAAGTGAAATTCGACAATTTCACTTGCTCATTTGAACTTGAACACTTGCATTTGGGGTTATGACTTCTATTATGTTATTTGTAAATTGCCTGATTTTTGTTGTAAATTGCTGAATTCCACTTGTAAATCATTTAATTTCACTTGTTCACTTACACTCAAACACTTAAATTTTGGGTTATGAATTCTCTTGTGTTTACCAAATTTGGGTTGTAAATCCATAAACTTTTATTGTAAATCTTCAAATTTCACTTGCTCATTTGCACTTAAACACTTGCATTTGGGGTTATGACTTCTATTATGTTATTTGTAAATTGTCTAATTTTTGTTGTAAATTGCTGAATTACACTTGTAAATCGTCTAATTTCACTTGTTCACTTACACTCTGTTAGGATTATAGTTTTGATGATAACAAGTCAGAATATCAGGGTTAAGTATTTTGATCGATCAACTAATCGAACAATCAGTTATCGCTAAGGTTTCAGATAAATGATCAAGTATAAATCGGGTCTATAGTAGTCTTTTTGATCCAAGAACTATTCGATGAATAATTTATCGATAAAATGATCGATAATCGCTAGCGTAAATATCACATAAGACTTTGGGAAATTATCGATAAGCTGATCGATAATATCAGGTAAACAATCGAGTTACTGATAAGAGACCCAAATCTGAAGTGTATTTATCGATCAAGTTATCGATAAATCAGTCATCAATAACGACTTCGATAAAAGGTAACACTCTCTACATGTTCTGCACATTAGTTATGTTACAAGTTTATCGATCATATTTTCGATCATTTGTTTATCGATTACGTGCTCGAACTTTATGCTCTAACTCTCTGAATGCAGGTGATCAAATTCACTGATAGATCGATAACTTTATTGATCACAAAATTATCGATCACATGATCGATAATCAATGTCCTTGTCTACTCTTACTCAGTTCTGCTACAGCTAAATTATCGATAACATTATCGATAACTTTAACTTATTTGCTCAACAAAAGTTTTCACATAACGTGATCGATAAAGAGTCTAAGAATTGACATATTCGCATTAAGTTATGGTGAACGAATGTTCGATCAAGTTATAGATCACTGTTTTTTCGATAATATGATCGATCATCCAATTCCATGAAAATCATGTTTTTCACAAAAGGTGATCGATAACCAGTTTCCTTGCCTTACAGGAATAATCTTCTCTTCATAATTTATTCGATCATTTGTTCGAATATTCATTGTTCGATTAAATGTTCGATCTTTTCAGATAGCCTGTGTTCTTCATTGAATATATATACCCATGGCTTATCGATAACATTATGCATTATATATTTATCGATAAGATGTTCGATCATCAATGACTGAAGCTTTATTTCAATAACATTTAAATTATCGATAATCTGTTCGATCAATTATGTGATCGATCACTTTTTCGATCATGCAATGATTTCCTATTTCTATGATAATTCTTAAAGTCAATGATCCAACACTTGATCGATAATTTTAGTGATCTACTTCGAAAAGTCTTCATTCTGGTTATCGATAATTTGATCTATCATCAAGTAATCGATCACTTTTTCGATCAAACTAAACCAGAATGACATTTTGTTCTTCTTACTGATAAATGATTTTGGCACAAATCCTTGAATGATAGATTAGCTTTCTATCTGTATTCAAGATTTAAGCACTCACCACAAAACTCTCATATGTTCTAAGTTTGAAATATGCAGATTAATGAAGAAAAAAAAACGAGTGCAACGGCTCTTCAACGGGATTACGTAGACTACGACCTACAGTGTCAGAAACTCAGACGCATTAATGGCGGAGCCGTTAAAACCAGTGAAACACGCAAACGAAGCCACAACGGCTAGAAGCCTTCCGTCTAACGGCTATTTAACAAGATCAACTATAAAAGGCGCGAAGAGGCATTAATGAAGAAATTGAATACCCGAACTACCACCTGCGATTATTTAGTTACGCATTCAATACTCTGTTTTTACGATACTATTGAGCATCAGTGATTATCATTGAATTCACTCTGTAAGAGAGCCATTCACTACTTTCTTTAAAAACTTGAGAGACACTCAAGAGTGTGGACTCTTGAGAGGGGTTGTATCCTTACGGGAGTAAGGGGGAGTGATTGAGCGATTCAATTACTGTACCGAGGCACCAAGAGCCCTGTCGATCTTGGAAGATAGTGAAATACTCAGAGGTGTTCTGGGGACTGGAAGTAGGTCACGTGGATTAGACCGAACCAGTATAAATCTTGTGTCTCCTCTCTGCGGTTAAAATTCTCCTTACTCTGACTCTCTGTTTTTATTTAATACTTGCACGCTTTTAGTTTTAAGTTTTTGTAACTCACCCAATTCACCCCCCTCTTGGGTGAGATTGTTTCTAACATTTGGTATCAGAGCAGGTCTCTTCACTAAGGATTTAACAGTCCGAAGAGAGATCAAATGGCAGGATTTGGAGATAGCGTGTTACCGGAAGGATGCTCAACATCTAAACCGCCAGGCTTCAGTGGAGAAAATTATACGTTCTGGAAAATGAGGATGAAAATCTTCATTAAGGCCACAGAGTATGGATTGTGGGACGTAATAGAACACGGCAACTATGTCCCGATGAACACAATAGATGGCCAGCAAGTACCCAAGAGTTCCACGGAGTTCAACGAGGAAGATAAGAAGCTGGTAACTCTAAACGACAAAGCGATCAACATACTCACGTGTGCGCTTAGTCAGAGGGAATACTTCAGAGTCTCAAGTCTGGAAACCGCGAAGGAAATGTGGGAGGCTCTGGAGATAGCTCATGAAGGAACCACCGGTGTAAAACAGAGTCGAATCAACACTCTCACTACCGAATTCGAGTTATTCAGAATGAAGGAAGGAGAGAGTATCCGAGATATGGAAGTCAGATTCTCACATCTCATAAATCACCTCACTGCACTTGGGAAGAAATATAGTCAAGAAGATCAAGTGAGGAAAATTCTGAGCGGTCTCACAAAAGAATGGGAACCGAAAGTAACAGCTATTGAAGAAACCAAAGGAGAATCCATTGGTTCGGTTGCAGCACTATTCGGGAGTCTTGCTGAGTATGAGAGCAAGCAAAAATACAAAAAGGAGATGAACGAGAAAAACCGGAAAGGCATCGCTCTTAAAACTCAAGTGAGCGAGGATGAAAATGAAGATGATCTTGATGATGATGAAATGGGCCTTATAGTCAAGAGGTTCAAGAAATTCTACAAAAACAGAACCGGAAAGAAGTTTCAGCCGAAACGCAAAATTTCCTCATATCCGAACGAATCAAAGGATCCAATCATTTGCTTCGAATGTAAGAAGCCAGGACATATCAAGGCGGAATGTCCCCAACTCTCCAGAGCAAAGGATAAAGAAAAGAAGAAAGAAAGATTCAGAAAGAAGAAAGCCTTCGTCACATCAATCTGGGGAGACAGCTCCTCCGATGAAGAAGAAGAAAGTGACGATGAAGAGACAGCTAATATCTGTCTAGTGGCCCAAGAAAACGAGGACTCAGAAACAGACGAGGTATGTCTCAAGGCATCCAGAACAAATAAATGGTATATAGACAGCGGATGTTCCAGACACATGACAGGTGACACTGAGAAGTTTACATCACTCAAACCAAAAGATGGAGGAAAAGTAAGCTTCGGAGGAAACCAATCG